ATTTAGGGTGGGGCGGGAGGGCGACTTTTCTAAAGAATATAAAGCGAACTCATCTTTAGCTTCATTTGAGGTTTTGTAATACAATCAAAACAAGGAACACTTCTGTGAAAATGAATTGCTGGTCAGTTTTCTTAATGGCCTCTAGGAAGGCGTGGACAGTCATATCATTCATGTTAGGCTCATTTGTCACAGTCTCTATTGTCTTTCTAAATTGTTACATTGTAGTGTGTGTTTGTGTTTGAGCCTGCACGACAGGGCTCACATTTGGAGGTCATAAGGCATAAGGGAGTGGCCTCTCCCCCTTTATCACATGGGCTCCAAAGCTCCAACTTGTGTTGGCAGCATGTTCTCATCACTCTCTGACCTATCTTGTGGGGCCTCTTTTGTCCTTCTTTCTGGGAATGTGCTGACCACCACCAGATTCTCACTCGCTAGTGGTTATGTACGCATTTGAGCAGCTCACAAACTCCTCGTGTTCCACAAAACCTTAGATGTTGAGTATATTCGTAAGTGGAACCGTGTATGGATTTCCACAGCTGGTACAGCGTTGTGGCACAGGCTATGCGGCAGATGGCCACTTACCTCCACATCAGAGAGAATCTTCAATGGCTGAGAATTTCTTAGAAACATCTCAGCAAATGACTGCACGATGCCTCTTCTGGATACATCCTAGCCTGTAATTACGACCCATTCTCCTGTTCCTGGACGGTCCTGTCACTTCTTTTCTTTTGCTTCTGTTGCTGTTAGGGACCGTGCAGCAAGAGCCTTTTCAGAACACAAGCCTTCATTACATTCCCGCCTTTGCTTCTGCTGCTTCCCCACAACTCAGTTAATTACTAAGTGCCAAATTATGGAGGCCTCTATACCAACTGCAAAACAGTCTCCCTGAGTGTTACTAGTAATTTGCACACTGGCAGCATGTGAATTCATGAAATCCTGGCTTTGTCAATGTTGAATATCACCCCAAATATTTTTGATAATTTAACCTGTGTGAATGATATGAGGCAAACACTGGCTATTTTGCAGCTATGAAGATGGTCAGATTCCCCCCACCCCCAAATCAGCTAGTATGATGTGTTAATTTACAAAGAAGTTTAAAGCTGTATGTGGCGATGCACACCTGTTAGGGTATTTAAACCCCTGATAAGGTGTTTAGGGCCAGCCTGAGCTCCAAAGCAAGTCTGAGGTCAATCTGGGCTATCTTATATCCTATCTTTGAATTTTTTTTTCTTTTCAACACACTGAAATGACTTTATTTTTAAAAGTATAATTAAATATTTTAAATGTTTTGTTACATTCAACTAGGCAATTTTTCAACATTTAACATCCTAAATCATCCCACATTGCTGACTGGATGCTTTTCCTATCAGGCACCGATTAGAAGGGTAGAAACAAAGTGTTAAAAAGCACATAGTCCCTTTTGTCTAACAACTTTGCCATTTCCTAAGGACAATAAGAGAAGGTGAAGTAAGCAGATGGATTCTGTGTTTGTTATGTAGTGTACTGTCTTTGAGTTACTTAAAACAATGTATTCTCCAACAGCTTCACAAGAACAACGCTTTTATCCATTCTATGGGTTAGATATTTGGGGTTTCCAAAATGAAACGATGTGCTCAAACCCGGGATTCAAAGGGCAGCTACCCAGCTCCCAAGCCCCTTCTGTTCTGGGAATGCTCATGGGTCTTGGCTGTGGAGCACAGAGAAGGCTGTTTTAAGTGGGTGGCAGAGCGCTTTTGACAAGACGCTCAAAGGTAAGATAGAGAGGGCCCATGATTACAGCAGGGAAGGTGGGAAGCAGGGGAGGTGAAGAGCCGGAGGACCACAGCGTCCATCCGGAGAGGCTCAGGCTGTTGAAGATGGTGTTGGGTGAAGAGGGAGTGTTGTGATGGGTGAGGCAGACGTGGAGAGTTAGGATAGCCACAGTCTCAAGCAGAGGTCACCGTTGTAGTCACATGATAGCTCCCCCTGGGTCTCAGGGTGCAACCCCGGCATGCCACGCACCTAGTCAGCCAAGCTCGCCCTGCCCACTCCAGCTTCCTCCTATGCCCTCCCAGCTCCAACCCTATCAGCCTCATCAAGAATTTTGAGTCCCCTGACATCTCCCATGTTGTCTTTGATCAAGTAGGCTATGGGTCAGCAAGCAACCCCTTCCTCCCCTCAGTGACCACGTCTACTTGTTCAGTCAATTCTCTTCATTTTTTTTTTTTTTTTTTTTTTTTTTAAACAGGGTCTCAAAAAATCCAAGCTCTGTTAGCACTCACTGTGTAGCCCAGGCTGGGACTGCAGGCATGAGCCGCCATTCCTGGTCCACACTTCCTTTCTCTTAATTGTGTTTTGTCTTCTGTATTGCTCACTTCTGCTTGTAATCACGTATTCATTAGTGTTTTCTTGAGCGAGGCTGCTCTCTTCTAACAGCTGTCAGTTGTGTTGGTGAAGCAAAGTGAGTCTGTGTTTTTTGTTTTTCTAGTTTGTAGCCCAAAGCCTAGTAAGAGTATGCTTGCACTTAAACCATGTTTTTTTTGTTTTTTTGTTTTTGTTTTTTTTGGTGGAAGATGACAGAGGATTGATCTGAACAAAGGATAACGTTAGTGGGAATGAGGTGGGTAAGGAGGAAAAGAGATTGTGAAATGTTTTCGAAAGAACTTACTGCCTGCATGGTTGACTATAGGTAGGGATAAGAGGCTGGGGAATCAGGAACGGTTCCCAAGCTTGGTGTTTAAACAATTAAGAGAGACGTTTTACCTTTTACTAGAAATAGAGAATCCAGACAGATTATGGATTTAACTTTACATAATCAGATCAAGATGACAACCTAGAGGAGAAATATAGCCCACGGACATCGCCTGCCGAGAGTAATCGTACAACAAACAATAGCGTTTAGACACATTTTCAAAATGAAACAACCTCGTAGTTAAGAGAGCAGAAGTGTGGGCTGGAGAGACGGCTCAGCAGTTAAGAGCATGCAGTGCTCTTGCAGGGGACCTGAGTTTGGTTCCTAGCACCTACACTGGGTGGCTCACAAGTGCTCGTAACTGTAGCTGCGGGGGATCTGATGTCTCTGGCTTCTGTGGGCACTACATGTGTGTATAGTTATTCTCTCTCTCTGTCTCTCACACACACATAGAGAGAAAGGAAGGGGGAGAGAGAGAGAGAGAGAGAGAGAGAGAGAGAGAGAGGAGAGAGAGCAGATAGATTTGGGAATAGAAAGTTGAGGATTCTGTGTGTCCAGAGACAGGGGAGAAGAGCTGACTGAGAGGAGACCGTGTGGGAACAGGGAGCAAGCTGGAGACAGCAGGGTCAGGTTGCCACAGAAGTTCCAGAAGGGGTGTGTTTCCGCCCGTGTGGAACACCAATACCGCAGAGGAAGAACACAGAGCAAAAAGGCAGGCTCCACCTTCCTACAGTTCCACGGTGACCTTTGCGATAAGGCCTCTACATAACACGAGCTGGGGCTTATGGTGCTGGAAGGGCAGTAGCATTGTGAGCGGAATGAGTAACAGAAACAGCCCAGGAAGGTTTTTCAAGATTGTTAGAGATTAGCAGAGGTCTGGGAGAAGAAATGAAAGGAGCTGCTGGTGGAGGTCAGGAGAGGGGGCGGGGCCGGTGAGGGAGGAGAGCTCAAGAGCAGGAAGGGTGTCAGTGCTAGCTTGGGAGACTTGTTCTTGTAAGACTGCTGGTTCCATTGAAGTGGCGGGGAGTGCTGGAAGAAAGTGCAGGAACAGGCATCCGGCTTTCCAGTACTCTCTTTGCACAAGCGTGAGCTGGGAAAAGGAATGAGTTGCTACCCCTTCGCAATTGCCTGTCTGCCAGAACAGGAGTGACACGGCCTCTTTAAACTACCACAGAAGCCCGAGAACCAGAAAAAAGAAAAGAAAAGAAAAAAGCAGCTTTAGGAATGGACAGGTAGAACTCCAGGTTTACCACACACACTGCTGGCCCTAGCCATAGCCTGCCCCAGCGGCGGCCCCTCTCAGGGCTGTGGGAAGAGGTGCTTTCCTGTGTACACAGGTGGGGCAGACCACAGCTCTCATTTCCAGCCCTGCCTCTGGCCCCGCCCAGCTGCTGGCCTCCTTCCCATTGGGCTGAGAACTCTGCTCCCCAGTCAGGCCTGAGCATCCCTCACATTTACTCCCATGGCAATGTCATAAGGGCTTCCCCCGAACATGATCTCACCCATGCTCAGGGCACTGTGGCCGCCCTTTGAAGCTGCCAATCAATAAATGCCTTGGGTGCGACCATTTGCAAGCAAGCCACACTTAGGTCTTTGGTTTGAAAGCCAGATGCTTGCATGCCTGTCACACTGCAGCGGGCCGTTCTGCTTTGGTCATGAAGAGGTGGCTAGACCTGATAAATGCACTTTGGCAATAAAGCAGTGAACTGTGGGACTGGATGAGAATGGAAAAGCAATGCATGGCAGAAACAAATGGCAAGGAGCCAGTATTTGCCATCAGCTAGAGCTTGCCAACTGGAGCCTCTTCCTGTGCCTTCTATGTCAGGAAGCCAAATCTATTTTTTTTCTTTGTGGTTTGCAAACATATGTTTTAAAATTTTTAAAGAAGTTAGTGTGTATTAATTGGGTTTTCATCATAAATCCCACTTCTGCTAGGAGAATAGGTGGTGTCTATAAACCATAAACTCATGGACATGAAAGCAGAGAGATGTGTGTGTGTGTGTGTGTGTGTGTGTGTGTGTGTGTGTGTATGTTAGGATCTGTACAGAGGCAGGAAAGAGAAGAGTCTAAAATTATTCTTGCCAATCTTGAGCAAAGCTCATGCCTTGCATCAAGGAAGAAACAGCCTGCCTCCTCCTGCCTCACTCTGGTTGCCGGCAGGTCCACCCCAAGAGAAAGGGAGCTGACCCTGACTTGGTTCCCCTTTCCTGGAAAATAATGTGATTGTTCACACTCTGAAGGTCTGACCACCTGGAGACATCTCTGAGTCTATCATTTTTTTTTTTTTTTTTTTTTTATTTTTTTTTTTTTTATTTTTTTTGACGTTTTGAGATTCCTTTCTTCCCTTCCTGGAAACCTTCTTCGAGGATTAAGAGGTCTGTGAAAGAACGTCATTTCCTTGAGGGTAGATTATGTTTTGTGGTATTTAAGTAGCTAACTAGTCATATAACTAGCTGATTAACCAAGTAGCTAACCGGTAAACTAACTAGCAGCTAGCCTCCTAACTGACTAACTAGAATCTGAATACAGCCAGAGAAGTAGCAAAGAGCCGAGATGAGTGCCCTCTTCCATCCGACCATGGAAATTGGAAATCCTCTGGAACCATAGCTTCTGGCCGACCCCAGCTGGAAACCACAGTGTCTTCTGTGGCCATCTGAAATGCTCAGGAGTGATTTCGAATTTTTCTCTAATCTTGGATGGCCGGACAACAGCCCCAAGATGCTTCACGACACACACCCGTGCCTGCCGAGCACTTCTCTTGTTTGCAGGACAGTTTCACCCGGCCCTGCCAAGTGTGGAGAGAGGCCCCACGTGCACTTTCAGTCACGTGACTCATGACTCAGGCGCTTTCTGGTTCCTGCCCATCACAGAGTATGGGAACCTGGGAGGAAAGGTAAGAACTGACTACGCTGTGGCTCTCTGGGAGGGGCCAGGGTTGGGCAGCGGTTTGTTGTTCTGCGGTGCCCTGACCCTTTTTATGTGAGTGCAATAAAGTTATCACACGGGCACAGAATTGCTGCCGATGGTTCAGAGCCACCGAAATCAGGGCTCGGAGGTGGGGACCTATTTGAATGAAAGGGTTGGTCTCTGACCTCCCCACCGGGGAAATATTTCTTCTGCTAGCTAAATATTTCTTCTGCAGGAATCCACCCAGCCAAACGTAGCATGTGTGCTTGCTCTTGCTTTACTAGATGGAGAGGAAAATCCATTTTACAGCAGGAGGGATGTCTAAGTGATGTGGGGAGAACAACGCTAAAACAGTTCTGCTGAACAGCAACAGTTCTGCTGTCTGCTCTTCTAAACTGCATTTATGAAAGTCCCTTCCTTCATTTTTAAAGTTTGAAAAGATTCATTTATTATTATCTTCAGCTTATGTGTATGTGTGTCTGTCCATGTGGAGGTATGGGTACATGACTTCAGGTATCCTCTGAGGCCAGAAAAGGTAATTTGACCCCTTATAGATATAAGCGGCCATATGGGTCTCAGGAACCAAACCCAGGTCCTTTGAAAGAGCAGCAAGTGCTTTTGAAAGCAGAGACCATTTTCCAGCCCTAGGAGTCCTTCCTTAGAGCTCTTCACCATTGAACTGCTCCTTTCCAGAGAAGAGGTAGAGGACACAGAAGCTCTGAGCTTTTCTCATATAGATTGTCATCTTGGAAACCCTTTTGGGGGATTTCAGAGCACAGTGTTCTGTGATTTTTAGGTGGGATGCATTGTCTTTATTGTGACGAGGGTGTCACAAAAAGAAAGAAGCTCCACTGAGACACAGATTGGAACAGATGCTAAGACTCACAGCCAAAGCATTAGGAGAAGCATGGGGAGTCTTGTGGAAAAGTGGGAGGAAGGACCTGGAGGGGACAGGAGCTCCACAAGAAGACCAACAGAGCCAATTAACCAGGGCCCAGAGGAGCCTTCGGACAGTGAAGCACCTAATCAAGGACCATGCATGGGCTGGACTTAGGCCCCTTGCACAGATGTAGCTGATGGGCAGCTCGGGCCTCATGTGGGCTTCCTAGTAAGTGGAGCCAGGGCTGACTCTGACATGGACTCAGTTGCCTGCTTTTTGATCACTTTCCCCTGGCAGACTGACTCACCAGAGCATGGGAAGAAGATGTGATTAGTCCTGATGTGACTTGATGAGCTGGGGTGGGTTGGTAGGGAGGCCTCCTCTTCTCTGAGGAATAGGGGAGCAGTGAGAGGGATGGAGGGTGGGACTAGGAGAGGAGGGAGAGGGCTACAATAGGGATGTAAAGTGAATGAAATTTTAAAAAGCCATGAGTTTGGTTTGGTTTGGTTTGGAGTCAGAAGCACAGATTTGATGCCTACCAGGTATTATATCAGTACTGTTTCCCTCCTCTGAGAACCTCTATTTACTCTTCCTGAAATGGCGAGCGAAGGCTCTAACTTCTTCAGTCACTGTGAAGACAAAGGAAACGTGTGTGACAGCATCAGGGTAATGGCTGTCACTGAAGAAGTGGCCCACAAACACTTGTTCACTGGCTTTCAAGGCAGGACCTATAATTTCTGTTTTCTTTCTCCCTTCCTCTCTCCTCCCTTCTTTTTTAGAGTTTTGAAGACAGGGTCTTGCTTTATGTTCCTGGATGACCTGGCACTGGCTAGGTAGCCCAGGTTGGTCTTGAACTGATGGCCGTACTTTGGCCTCAGCCTTCTGAGAGCTGGAGTTACAGGTATGTTCCACCACGACCAGATTATATTCCCCCTTCTCTGCCTCCTCCTTATGTCTTCTGGTTTGTCTCAGACAAGATCTCTGTAGCGCAAGCTGACCTCCAACACCTGGTCCTCTCAGCCTTCATCTCCCCAGTGCTGAGCAAATGGTCTTTTGCCGCTTGTAACTTCCATGGGTTTTCTGGATAAGTGTGTGGCTTAGCCCACTGTACAAACTTGGTGGCTGTGTTGAGTGACCATCTGAATAGCAGTTGAGGACAAGCAATCTAAAAAGGACTTAGGACCATTCTGTAGTCTGGATAAGGTCCGAGAAGCCTGAGATTAAAGGTCTTTATTTCAGGGGCATGAAAGGAGATGAGATGGGGCATCTCTGTGTGAGAAGGCAGATCCACAGAATAAGAATATGGGGGAAACAGAAAACTGGAGGGCTTGTTCCTAGGAGAGGTCTGGTGCTTGCATGTGTAAAAAGAACGGGACCACTAATGCCCACCTAAAAAAAAAAATGTGTGTGTATATATATATATATATATATATATATA